AAAATTGTCAGTTAATAAATGGGCTGCTGTCTGAAGTCACTACACTTGTGGGTAGTTTGTTATTGAGAAAAATAGAGGAACTTCTATCCAGAACTCTTAACTGATACAAGTTAATATAATGGTAGGGCTCTTTTATATAATTGTTACAAGAATACCCGAGTGCTTAAGTAAACCTCAATATATATTTAGTCTTACCATTTTAAAAGTATTTAAAAGAAAAAAATCAGTGTTAGGATAAACAAGTTCAAATAGCGGTGAGGCACTGAGTGTCCTATGTTAAGAGATACACATCCTTCCACGCTCCTTCACTCGTTTTCCCTTTTTCATTTTGAAAGACAAGTGTGTTCGTAGAGTAGGCCTCAGTATGGATTTATGGATTTGGCAAATAAAATATTCATGTAAATCCTTCATCTTAGAAGATAGTTCAGATGAGACCATGGAAAATATTAGGGAGATATTATAGACTGAAAAATTACAGAAAGTTTATAGACAGAAGCTCTGATTATTTGAAATTATTTGGGAAACCCTTGGGTAGTTGGAATAGGTGAAATGCATTTTTAATGAACAGTAATAATGTGGTGAGTTGTAAAAAGTGTTTGTTAGACGTAAGCAAATGAGGCCCGTTACCAGCATTAGCTAATTATATGGCTCTAGGCAAGGGATTCACCTCTTTTCCATTTTATTAATTTCTAGAATGTGGACAGTGTTACTTAGGCTTCAGGGATATTGTGAGGAGTTGAGAATGTACATAAAATGTGTAACACTTGTAAAGGGTGCCTGGGTGGCTCAGTCAGTTAAGTATCTGACTTTTTTTTTTAAGATTTTTATTTGTTTGACAGAGAGAGCACAAGCAGGGGGAGCAGCAGGCAGAGGGAGAAGCAGGCTTCCCACTGAGCAGGGGGAGCCCGATGTGGGACTCGATCCCAGGACCCCAGGATCATGACCTGAGCTGAAGGCAGTTGCCTAACCAACTGAGCCACCCAGGTGCCCTAGCATCTGACTCTTGATTTCGGCTCAGGTCATGATCTCAGGGTCACGGGATTGAGCCCTGAGTTGGGCTCTGCACTGGGTATGGAGCCTACTTAAGATTCTCTTTCTCTCTCCCTCTGCTACCCCCCCAAAATGTGTAACACAAAACTGGCACTAAATAAATGTTAGCCTTATTAATAGTTTTATGATAGAAACACTATGGAGCTACCCTATGAGCCAGAAATTGCAATACTAGGTATTTACCCAAAGGATAAAAACACAGTGATCCAAAGGGGCATCTGCACCCCAAAGTTTATAGTGGCAACATCCACAATAGCTGAACTATGGAAAGAGCTCAGATGTCCATTGAGAAATGAATGGATAAAGACGACGTGGTCTATATATACAATGGAATATTACTCAGCCATCAAAAAAATGAAATCTTACATTTGCAACGATGTAGGTGGAACTAGAGGGTATTATGCTGAGCAAAAGAAGTCAATCAGAGAAAGACAATTATATGATTTCACTCATGTGGAATTTAACAAACAAAACAGGATCATAGAGGAAGAGAGGGAAAAATAAGACAAAAACAGAGAGGGAGACAAATCCTAAGAGACTCTTAACTACAAGAAACAAACTGAGGGTTGCTGTATGGGAGGTCGGTGGGGGCAAGGAGTAATTGGGTGATGGGCATTAAGGAGGGCACTTGGACTAATGAGCACCGGGTGTTGTATGCAACTGATGAATCACTGAACTCTACCTCTGAAACTAATAATACACTAGATGCTAAGTAATTGAATAAAAAAAAACATGAAAAAAAAAACCCCACAAAAAACACTATAGAATTCCGAATTCATAAATTATACTGCCAAAGCCATCTGAATAAAGTGGGTCCCCTGTGTATTTAATGTAGAGGAAGGGATTCATTTGTAAGCTCATAATCACGCAGTTGTAATGGGAACTTCTGTAGTGCATGAAGGTCTGGAAAAGCAGCTATGAAATGCATTGCCCTGCTCAGAAATACTCCTGAAAAGCAACAGGCAAGCACAGCACATTTTACAAGGGCAATTTTCTCTGTTGTTTGACCTAAGGAATCTTGAACACTTCCTCCAAAAATGGCACACTAAAGCTCTTCTGAGAGTCCACACAAATGCAGATAGTTGGATTTAGGGAGATTTAAAATCTCCTTTTAGGTGTTCGTTCTACTGTCATGTGGGGTTCCAAGAAGCTCGTTTGTTTTCTACAAAGGAAAGCAACATGGATTCTCTCAGCCATCTGGGATCTACTGGTTATTAAACATGCACGAAGAAATGGGATCGGCTGAATGAAGTGCAGTGGTGTCTGAGGTGCAGGGGAAGATCTACCAAGGCCAGCTCTAAATTATGTTCAGAAAAGTAATTTTCCACCTATTAAAGGACTGAATGTTTCTGTTCCCCCTCCAAATTCCTATGTTGAAGCCCTCATTCCCAATGAGATGAAATTTGGAGGTGGGGCCTTTGGGGGGTGACTAGGTCATGAGGGTAGTGTCCTCAGGGATGGGATCAGTTCCGTAGAAGAAGGGACATGAGAGAAATGATGGCTCTCTCCACCATGTGAGGACATAGCAAGGAGGCTCTTCGAAATCCAGGAAGGGGGCTCTCATGAGGCATGGAACCTGCTGCACCTTGACCTTGGGACATTCAGCCTCCAGATTCTAAGAAATAAATGTTTGTTATTTAAGCCTCCTGGTCTATACCAGTTTGTTACAGTGGCCCAAGCTGATGAAGACACCATCTTTGTTTGCCACTTCTCTGATAAAGCAGATGGTCCTGTTTGCCAACCTGAGTCAGCTTGGAATCAAAGGTTCAGACGAAGAAATCAACAGATAACTCTGCTCTGTAGTATGTAGGTCAAGTTCTCAAGAATCGAGGACCATTCCTTAGCAGCTGTACAGATAACAAGTGTATGGATACCATCCAAACTCGATGGGGATTTTCGTAACATCCCATGGGCTACCACTGCATTTGATGTAACAAGGCGAACTTGTCTACTTACCAAAGCATCTGATGTCCTTCACAGAATAATGCAGTAAGGGGATGGGTGCTAGACACAGGTGGTTTGGGTTCAAATTCTCGCTTTGCTGCTTTCCAGTGTGGAGACAATAGTTCAACCACTTAACCTCCCTAATCATCAGTTTCTTCATTTCACATGCAAAATGGAGACTTAAATAGAGTTTGCTTTCTAGGGTGGAGAGTATTAAATGAGACAAATGTGAAGTGCTGAGCACAGCATCTGGAAAATATTGAGCAGGTAAAAATTCTAGCCGCTATCATTGTTATTTTTATTGTTGGTCACAGTATATGTTTCCTAGTTGTGCCTCAAGGAAATACTTAATGAGGGTAAGGTCAAAAGTTGGAAGTTTCCGGGGCGCCTGAGTGGCTCAGTCGTTAAGCGTCTGCCTTCGGCTCAGGTCATGGTCCCAGGGTCCTGGGATCGAGCCCCGCATCGGGCTCCCTGCTCTGCGGGGAGCCTGCTTCTCCCTCTCCCACTCCCTCTGCTTGTGTTCCCTCTTTCACTGTGTCTCTCTCTGTCAAATAAATAAATAAAATCTTAAAAAAAAAAAAAAAGTTGGAAGTTTCCATGGAGCCCACAGGCCATGGAGATGCCTGCCTCAGTGACAAAGATCAAAGGTCAATGGAAGGAAGATCTGGGGGACGCTGTCTTGCCATGTGGGTACCAAGTCCATCCCTCTAATCAAAGTCAGGTAAGTTGCCTTTTCTCCCTCTTTTCTGTTGCCTTTCCATATTCTAGGTTTTTGCCAGTGACCAACAAAATTGAAAGCACTGCGTTAAGCAGCTCTCTCTCCAACAGTCCCACACTTCTAAAAGTCTGTGGCAAGAGTCCCCTACGGGCAATAAAAAGGAATTCCATTAAATGGACATATTCATGAAATTTAGGAGCAAAGAGTCTGTGGAGTTACCTCTAGATCAGCAAATCCACCAAGCTATCAGTTCAATAATACAGGGAATATTACTAGGCCAAGATTAGGCTGAGTTTCTCAAAGGAGGACAAATTGTTAAATTGGGGCCATGAGTCCTGCAGTTTAATATCTGAAGTGATTCAGAGATACATCACTCAAGTCTGGCTCTGCAGGGCATGCTTTAGTTTGAGGACTGAGTCAGAGTACAAAGAAGAGGAACGCAAGATTAGTTTAAAAGAACTCTGAAGTCCTTTAAGAAATTTTCTCTTGCTCCTGTTGCCTTAAATGGATGAACCCACACGTTACCCTTCCAGCCCCAGGGATTGTTGTGATCCATCTTGGGAAGGAAAGAGGTATTATGTTCTCCTCCTTTCCCTGTGAGGAGTGATGCGGAGCAGGATGATGCCTGAGTGTGGTGAAGTTTCCAACCCACACTAGAACTCCTGAGGCCAACCAGCTCTTATAATTTCTCATGATCACTGTCAAAAAAAACCTCTTTTTATGGGCAAAAAGGAAAAACAACTCTATTTCAGAAGTAGGACACTGGGCAGAGTTTACATAATGGGGAAAGTGAGAAGAACCCTCTCTCCAGGAGCCATGGGTAAGAAGTTCAGAGCTGGCTAGTACCTCCCTCCGTGCACTGTGTGTGGTAAAGGACTTGCAACCCAGGGGATGGAGGTGCCTCCAGGCTAACTGAGACTATGAGCTGGTCTTCAAGAGTCTGGCTATGGCCTATTTATTTTTAGATAAAGTCCGATTATTAAACTATTTTTAAATGGGTGAGGCTTTGTTATCTTTTGAAAGAACTGTTAGAAATGCAGATTACAAATCAGTGACAGCCAATCCCAAATGGATTCTGTTTTTAAATGTCATTTTCCAATCAGTGAAAATGAAGGTACTACTGTCCAGTTGGCTGGTGTCAGTTTCTAAGCCATGTTTTTGCCTGTGAGGAATCCACTGGTCCATTACACAGAATAACAGCTTTTCATTAGAGAGCTAAAAGTAGAAAACAAACAAGCAAACAAAATCATACACACATACCTATGTAAGCACACTCAACACATCATACCTTTGCATGTTTCTTCTTTAAAGAATTTAGTTCCTTCTGTTGTTTCTTTAAATGCTTCAGGTAAGCCTGTGGGAGAAACAAAGAGGGTCCCAAATCAGTGTTTTGTAGCCACGATGAATACATCTGGTGAGAAACAAAAATATATTGGTGTCACCAATATGTGTCATATAAGAGTGCTTGCAAAATGATTGGGCAATGTGGGGCGCCTGGATGGCTCAGTCGGTTAAGCGTCTGCCTTCGGCTCAGGTCATGATCCCAGGGTCCTGGGATCGAGCCCCGCGTCGGGCTCCCTGCTCGGCGGGAAGCCTGCTTCTCCCTCTCCCTCTCCCCCTGCTTGTGTTCCCTCTTTCACTGTGTGTCTCTCTTTCAAATAAATAAATAAAATCTTTAAAAAAAAAAAAAAAGATTGAGCAATTTTACCTTCATCTGCTTTAAATCTTCTATCCTTACTTGAGGGATAAGTTCGATACCTTAAAAAATATTAAATCACTGTATTAAAAATTAGAGAGAATAGCAGATAATACAAAATTCACCATTTTGAAATCTCATCTAAAGACTTTGAAGCAGCTTTACATGTAATGTTCTAGATATAAGCATCTTAATTTCTTATTACAAAGCAATTAACTAGACACTTACTTGGCAGGCTTATTGTCTCAAGTCAAGTTCCTTACAAGTAGAACCTGAGCTGGAGTTGTGTGCGCATATGACTTACTGAGGGAAGGCTCTCAGGAGAAACCTCTAGGGAGTGAGAGAAGCAGAACAGGGCAGAGGAAGAAGACAGGGTGCATTTCTAGCTGAAATCCACCCGGACCCTTCAGGGAGTTCACTAGCATAAATGGCCATCCAAAAGTTGCTCCACCTTGAGGTAAGGAGACTGGGCTTTTGTAACCCCAGAATAGTCAGCCGATGGCTTCAGAGGTTGTACAAAACCTTCTAGGCATTTCCAGGCAAGGGAACTCCCACAGTCTGAGGGCAATCCTCTGAGAAAGTGGCAGTTGTGATTTACAATCAGCCAAAGGGGGGTGCCAACCCCACAAAGGAGATCTGATCAGGCACCACAGCATCTGTTAACGTTACTTTTATCTTTGTATTTCAGGGCATAGCATACCAGTCAACTACCTCCCTCTTCATTGTCATCAAAGAATAAAACTTTTTTTTTCTTCCCAGCTGCTTTCACCAAATGTAATTTTTAAGCAATAGGCTATTGAGCACAGCCATGCCTTCAACATACAGGAAATCCTGGAATCAAACCGTTAACAGGATGCTGTCAGGAGGACCCGGAGTCACATACTCAATTATCCTGCTACTGGAGTGATGCTAGGCCAGGTGTCGTCATGGCAACCAGAGTTGCAGGAGAATCCCCAAACATTTTCTGTTTGACTGCAGATTTTCATCTTAGACAAACAGGATGAATGTGTGCTCTGTGCTATAACTGATTTCCATTAGACTCCCAAAAGCTAGGCGTGAGATATTCAAGAAAGACAGGCCTCGAGTCCCAGGCTCTTGTTTTTCAGTTCTGTTCATTTTAAGAGGATGTGCACAGCCAGTGTGAGGGTGGGGAGGTGGGAAAGGGAGTGAGGGCTAAGAGAAATGAGCCCTGTGATCTATATACCATTTATGATAGGGGTGTCCAGAGAACCTGGGGCTGTTCTCTCTCTCTCAAATCTGACATCACAAGCCAGCTCCCTGCTTTACTGCAAGAATGAGGGGCATTGTCGGGCAGAGATGTGAATCCTCATCTATAAAATGAACAGAGGACTGTGGTGCATGCGAGATCCCCCCAGAGAGCTAGCAGATATTAAGACTTAATCTAGTCCAATGAGACTTCTCTTTTGGTCTTGGTTAAAGTACATCTTGATTAACAGGAATCTATGAACACATGAACTTGGTTATACATTTTTTGAGAAAGACAGAAATAACTTATAAAAATTTTCATTCCTATAAATGATGTAGCTAGGGAACACCTACACTCTGCAGAACAGGACTTGGTATGTGCTCAGTTCCCTCTGTGGGCCTACAGAAGGGTGTCTAACAGAACTTTCGGCAACTGTGGTAATGTTCTATGTGGGAGCTGTCCAACAGAGAGCGGCTAGCTATGCATGGCTCTGGGCAACTGAGCTGTGGAGAGTGCAACTCAAGAGTTCAAGAGTTAATTTTAACATTGAAATTTACATAGCCACATGTGGCTACTCCACTGGCCAGTGCAGTTCTACAAGCTTCCCTGGTTAAGGGAAGGGTTAAGCACGACACTTTGGGCTCCAAAGATTGTAGCTAATTGAAGTTTCACTATGTAAAAGTTTTTGTTCTTATCAACAAAGCTCAAAAAGAACTTGTTTGCTCTCAAGCCATCATTCGGAGGCCAACTCAGAGTTTCATTTTCTTAATTCCTTATTCTTAAAAAGAAAATCAAGCAGCATTCGTGCAGATACTGGTGTTGGGTTGCATGTCCGAGAGAAACCAGTTAGAACTTTCTCACCTCCACAGATGTGGGCAGCAAGTACTGCCCGGCTCTACCCATTCACCTTGCTTTCTCTACATCAGCCCACTCTACTGACTTCCAATGGCCAGCACCTGCATTTCCTTACCTGAGGACTCTCCCTCCAAAACGTGCTTTACCACCCTTCTGTCCATTTAGAATCATTGGGGGGGAATTTATCCCTCCTCCAGGGGCTCTCAACAAAAGACTAACTGTAGTTGAAGTATAAGTTCCTCTGCCTCTGAGATGTGTGTCCAACACCAGCCCTCAGGGTGTTCCCAGGAGCACTGAGCTCCAGGTGCCTCACTGGAACTTGGAACACTCTGATTACTGGCTACCTTCTCTTCTTTGTGTCCCTTCCCCAAGCCCCTACTTGTGTCCGTTGTACCCCCACCCCCACCCCCGCCAATAAACTACTTGCATTTGAAACCTTGTCTCAGGGTCTGCTTTGGGATGACCCAAATTAAGACCGTTCTCTAGAAAGAAGCTTGCTTTCTCAAATGACACCTCTTCCCATAAAGGCCACTGGAGTAATTTCCTGACTCCCTTGACCCCTGACTCCCCTGTTCATAGACAGGAGTGGGAAGAACACCTATAAACTTCCTTCTTGCACTTCTCTGCTATTCTCCTAAAAGCTACCATGCAAAAGAATAGGCCCCTCACTTAGACCAGGTTCTGCTGAGCCTGGTTACCTCCACAAGTGTCCTTCTAAATTGTACATTCATCTGCTCCATGAACTTCAGCATCTGGCTCATGGTTTTCCCATGGAGGCATTCCCAAGCATCCAACAGGGTGATTCAGTATCCATGAGAAGAATCCATTTCATTCCTTCCTATTCAAGTCAGACCTATGTTTCAAGGCCCAGATCCCAATTGGGATCTCATCCAGAAGTCTTCTCTGGGACACTTGCTGGAAGCGATGCCCTCTCCCCTCCTGTTCCTTAGGGGTTAGCTCTCATTGACCACTGCCAGCCGGGCTGTCGTGTGGGAGCCTGTCCTACATTACCCTTCTAGCCACATGAGGTCCCTGGAGGTGTAAAGGCATTTCTCATAGAACTTGGTACTGTCACTTAGAGTAGGCTTCCAATTTTCCTGAATAAAAGGCCAAAAGGAAACAGTGTGTAGACCCTCTCTCTTAGGGTGTCTGTCGAGGAGACTGGACCAGAAACGAGAGCCTCTTGGCTCCCCCCAATGCAATTTTATTTGGAACCAGGGGCGAGACCGTTCTAAACACAAACACATTCCCTTCTAGAACTAGGATCACTTCTGTCTTCTGTAAGCTGGTCACACTGCCATTTTTCAGGCCACTTAAGTCACTGTAATTACTAATGTCTTTATGTACTAGTGGGCGTGACACTTTAAACAAAACAAGAACTTTACACAAAAACTCTCCCATTTTCCACTGTCTATCTGTTTGAATGGCTAAAGTGACTAATGACCAGTGCTGGAATGGAATGCCCAAAGCCTGTATCATGAGCTTGCTCATGTCTCCAGGGAGGAACAGAAAAACAGCTGCAGGCAAACTACAATTTGGGCTACTTCTGTGCAGTCTCATTTACTAATTTGTTTCACAAAGCTCCATGCACACTTAGTATCCTGCTAAATTACTATGCTGCCTGGTTTGGAAAAGCCTGTCATTTCTTACCTTCAGCTGCAGCACTGTGTGCGTGTAAGTTACAAACAACATGATTCGCTAACATCAAGGGCACTGCATTCACATATAAATAGGAAATATACCCACTGAGTAGACAACCATTAGAAAAAATAAATTCTTATCAAAGTAAGAAGAGTGAGTCTGGTAAATGATTCATGATCGAGGAGGATACTCAAAATGTTTAATTCCCAGTGTGGGATGGGCACCATCCAATCAGAATGAATGCCTGGCCAGTAAGCTCGGAAGTCAATTTTAAATGAGCAAGTTGGTTGTGGCCCCACATACCAGCTGAATGTTAGCACATGGGATACATCATTCTTTGTGGTGACACCTCTTAGAATATCTTGTTTCATTTACAGGAAACCATACAGAATCGGCTTCAAATGTCCATCTGATAATTTTACACATAATCATGGATGCTAAATATCTACTCATGGGGGCAATCTGTCAAGAAGGGAATCTAGAAATATATGAACAATGATCATTCTGTTGGTTCATGAGCCCACTTCCTGTCCAGATGAGTGCCCGTGGGGGTATCCAGGAGAGTGTGGGGATGACTTAGTGAAGTTCACTGCATGAAGTTCTTTTCATTAGGGAGCCTGAATTTAAACATTTTCTAAAACTATGGATATTGTACCCAGGGCCCTAAGTTGCAAGGATCTAGCAGATGAGACAAATGTTGACTCCCTGTTAAATACTCTGGGAAATTAACCAGTTTGTCCAATCTACAAGAAAACATGCTGCTCTTGAGTTTTACGGGGCAATGAAAATTGGCAAAATTAGCAATTCTAAATACCCTCAGAAAAGACTCTTCGAAGAGTCTAAAATTGCCCGAACAGATAAGGAGCCCAAACCCCTCCCCTTTACCTTTCTTGGCTTCCACGCCAGACCCCAGGGCCGCCGTGGTGGTTGGTCTGAGCTCGGAGCTGCTCTGTGGGGTCACGTTTGCTTTGGCAGTGTTGGCTTTTCCTTTCTTGTCATTCTTAGAAGTATCACTGGGCACATCTGCTATGTCGCTCTGGAGCAGAAATGTTTATATTACCCTACATGAATGCCATCTCGCATTCAACTGTCTGGCACTTTCTCTATTTTACTGAATCCAGTGTGAACCACTCAGCATCTCCCCTACAACTCTCTTAACGGATCATTGCCCAGCAGGAGAAAAGATTACATGCTTTTCTCAGGCTTGAGGCAAAGGATGAAGCTGAGGAAAAAAGATGCCACTCTTTTACAAACAGGGTATGGTAAAGGGAGCTTTAAAAACAAAGGAACAGGGGCGCCTGGGTGGCTCAGTCGTTAAGTGTCTGCCTTCGGCTCAGGGCATGATTCCAGGTCCTGGGATTGAACCCCGCATCGGGCTCCCTGCTCGGTGGGAAGCCTGCTTCTCCCTCTCCCACTCCCCCTGCTAGTATTCCCTCTCTCGCTGTGTCTCTCTCTGTCAAATAAATAAATAAAATCTTAAAAAAAACAAAAACAAAAACCCAAAGGAACAAAGAAGGCGAGTGTGCACAGAAATGGAGGAAGGCTGGATGCAAGACTGGTAAGCAACAAAGACACATAAATGTCAATTTCACTAATTCACTGACTTGGATTAGCTGGTATTCTAGTGTATCACAGAAGCATCCTGTATCTGAAACATTCCTAAAAGCATTATGGATTTCCATTTCATTTATTAAATGTTTTCCATTTTATTTATTAAATATTCTACACTTTTACAGACCCTTGAAACTATTTTGTTGAATTGATAAATTCAATTTCAAAAACGCTCTTCAAGTTTGCTATATGAACTTATTACTCTGTCTTGCTCTTATAATCACTGACCACAGAACTTCCTCAACTTGGCTGTCCTTAGTCAACCATTGCTACTTACGGTTTCAATGCCCATAGCTCTCATTTGGTCTGCTCTCTTTTCCGTAATGGAAAGAAATTTCTTTGGATCTGATAAAGCATCCACAATATCTGAAAAATAACCCAAAAAGTCAGGCAGCTGTTGATTCTGTTTTACCGTACACACCCAGGAAAATTCAGCTAGTGAACAATTCATAATCCTGGACCCATATCATATCTTCTGTGAATTTCCTTCTCTTAGAACACAAGACAAAGTTAGGAAAGCACAGCCAGTTACAGAAAACAAGAAATAAGTAAGGGCAAGGATCAAAGGCCAGATGACTTTCTCCTATTTTCTCTTTGGTGTTTGCCCAAATAAAGATGACAGGGTGGCAGGGTGAGCCAAGTGAATTGCCTTGGGTTCTTGACTACTTATGTGATTTTGAGCAGGTTGATTCATGTCCCCAGCTGAGTTTCTTCATCTGAAAATTAGGGCTGATACCACCCACTCTGAAGGGATACGATGAGTATTCAATAAGATGATAAATGTAAAAAGTACTTGGAACATAGTAGACACCACCAGTATCTAAGTCTTATTTTTAGGTAAGAAGGCCAATACATATTTAAAGCCAATTTTGGTTCCATGGTAGTTAAAATGAAGTATTTCTCCAGCATCCTCTCAGCTACACCTTGCACTTAAAAATGGTAAAATTTTCATGTTTTATATAATGTCATTTGAAGAGTTCCAATTACTTTCCAGGAGAATCTCATGTAATTTTGCATTATTTACCAATTCTACAGAAGTAATATTTATTCTCATTACCTTAAAACAGTACATCATTTACAATTTTCAAAAACTCTATGTATATCAATTTCCTCCAGTAAAATCACCCTAATTAGTCTTTAATTATTCTCAGTTGAATCTTTTTCTTATAATACAAAATACATGTATATGATAAACATTCATATAAAATGTAAAAATCTCCTCTCCTGCCAATCTGACCCCTCGTATATACTGTTATCCATTTCTTGTATCCTTATTTAAAAACAAAACGAAACAAAACAATTCCAAATGGGTTCACAGTTTTATGCACCTATTTTTTATTTTAAACTTCACATATCTTGGAGACACTTCTTTATCAGTAATGTAGATCTACTATGTTACTTTTACTTATTTATTTATTTATTTTTAAAAGATTTTATTTATTCATTTGACAGAGAGACAGCGAGAGCAGGAACACAAGCAGGGGGAGTGGGAGAGGGAGAAGCAGGTCTCCTGCTGAGCAGGGAGCCCGATGTGGGACTCGATCCCAGGACCCTGGGATCATGACCTGAGCTGAAGGCAGACGCTTAACGACTGAGCCACCCAGGCGCCCTACTATGTTACTTTTAAGGGCTGCTTAAATATTTCATTTTCAGAATGGCTATAATTTCTTTAACAGTGTTCCTTATTGATAGACTTTTAGATTACTTCCAGTTCTTTGCTATTATAAAGAGTATTGCAGTGAAGATCCTGGAATGTTCAAATCTCAGAGCAGACATTTGCTGTGTCCACAGCATAAATGCCTAGAGGTTAGAATGATGTGTAAGGGTATTTGTCCTTTTGGTATCAGCATTGCCAAGTTGCCCTCCAAAGAAGTTGCATCAATTTATTTTCTCTTACCAGGGGTATATGAGAAGGTTTGAATCTAGTTATCACTTAGGTCCCTAAGAACTCTTTGTCTCGTAGTGGGGAAAGTAACCAAATTAGCTCTTAAATCTTGCTTAGGAGAAATGACAGATAATCATTTTTTGGAAGTTAAAGTTCTAAGAATATATTTACCTAATTTAAGTCCAAATTATGAACATTTTCAGGCACACACAGATGTAGACAGAAAGGTAAAATAACCCCCCATATATTGCTGAAGCCCTAACAGTTATAAACAGTCCACTACATCTCCTTTACTGCCATCCTTCCCTTTTTTTCCCTCTCTTCTCTCTGCTGACGTATTTGGGGCAAATTCCAGACATTATAACATTTCATTCCTAATTACTTTTCTATGCATCTCTAAAAAACTGCATTTTCTTTCAGAACCAGCCATACCAGCACTGTATCCAACAAAGTTGGCAGTAATTCCTTACCATGAATATAATAAATGGCCCATCTTATTATTTTCCCTATTGACAATTTATTTGTTTGAATCAAGATATAAAGCCCATACTATGTCTCTGATAACTAAGTCTCTTAAACTTACTTTAATCTAGACTAGTCCCTGCTACTATTTATTTTTCATAATGCATAGATTTGTTGAGGAGAGAGATCAGGTATCCCATAAAATGTCCCACATTCTGAATATCAATGCTTCCTTGTTGTGTCATGTAGGCTCGACTTTCCCTTTTGTATGAAGACTCCAGAGGAGTTACTGTGATTTCCTATGGGTCCCATGCAAGATAAAGCCTGATTGCCCCACTTGTCCTGGTGCTAAACTCATTGATCGGCTCAGGACTTTTAATCCATCTGTGTCTGACTCCCAGATGCCACCTCCTTACACTTGTCCACAAACTCACACTGTGCCCACTGAACCCCCCGCCCTCTGTGGAGAAGACCTACCTGGCGTCGGCCTCCCTGCACACTCCTACACTGGATACACTTTGCTTGAGTTCCCACTGGCATATCTCAGTGGAGGATCCACATGGCTGGCTTGTTAGGAAACAAGTACTTGCTTATTTCTTTAGTGATATACAATCAGGTCGAGGGCCTGGAGTGTATATGGCATTTTTCAGTGGTTACTGGTAGTCCTTTCAGTAGGAATCACAGATAACACTTACATCACTTCCAGCTGATTACAAAACCAATAAAGCAAGACCTTAAAGTGTGAAATGACCCATAATCCTTCCAAACGAACCAAGCTATTTTCATTTTTGTATACGCTTGTGTCATTTTTCCACATGAATACATATTTTGTATGGTTTATTTAAAATTACATAATCTCCTTTTTTCATTTATTATTAGGTTATACCTGTACAGTTTTAAAACTTACTTTTATTGAATGAATAATGTTCCATTGAGTTTATGTACCGAACTATTCTCTACTGCTAGATATTTAGATGGCCTTTCAATTTTTTTTTTAATGAAAGATGACTTTGCAAGAAATATGTTAATATAGAAAGAGTTCATTTCCTTTTACCAGTGAATTTGTAATTCAGATCCATAAGATAGCAACTTATATACCTGATGAGCATTACTAACAAAATTTGTTCCTAATAAGCTTTTAAAATAGTTATTTAAGAAAAATTAATGGGAGGAATGAATACAAAGAAAATATAGCAGAATTAAGAGGGTATATTAAGTTGAATAATGCTCTTCAAAATTCACGACTACTGGGGACCTCCGGATGTGAGCTTATTTACGAATAGAGTCTTTGCATATGTAATTAAAGACTGAGATCACACTGGATTAGGGTGGGCTCTAAATCCAATGATTGGTGCCCTTATAAGATGAGGAGAGGACACACAGAGACAAAGAGAAAAAGGCTAGGAGATGACAAAGACAGAGAATGGAATAATGTAGCTAAAAGCCAAGGAATGCTGAGGACTGCCAGGAACCACCCAGGAGCTAGGAAGAGGCAAGGAAGGATTTCTCCAAGAGCCGCCAACTCTAGGATTTCAAACTTCTAGGCTCCGGAACTGTCAGAGAATGAATTTCTGTTGTCTCAATCAATTTCTGTTGTGGCAAATTTGATTACCAATGGTAACCAAGAAAAAGTTTTGTTTTGTTTTGTTTTTAAAGGAGATAGAATTTTATTGACTACACTGCAAGGGTGCTGCAGACAGCAAAGGAGAGACGGTCTGCCACGAGGCAGTGGTGAGGGGTCACAGTTATAGGGCAGAGTGAAGAGGTATGGGAACATATGGAATTTCCCCCTTTTTGGTAACTGTGCCTGGTTGTGAGTAGCCCATTGGTTAGTTAGGGCCTATGGCTCTTTTGAGGTAGGTTGCTTAATGAGCCTGTTTGCATCAGCTCTGGGCCCTTTTGCCTTGCTCAAGACTCTATTGCTCAAGCCTGTTTCCTAAAAGCCTAAAAGGGCCTCTATATTCCCTCCTGACAGATTGACAATGACAAATCTTTGTCATTTGGGTGGAGGTCTCATCTCCAGTAACTTCTTCCTGCTGAAGGAGCAGTGGAGAGATGTCCCTACCTATGGGTCAACATTGGTCAGTTGGGAATTTATATGTAGAAATTACAAATGGCAGAGGCAAATGAATCCAGGGTAGACAACATACACGAATTTCCCTGAGTAGAAAGGATCATCTGTCAGCTTGAAATTATGGCAGCAAAGGGATCTTCTATTCTTGGGTGTATCTTCCAAATAAAGTAGGCTTTCTCATTGTTAACAAGGAGCATTCGTCAGTCCCTGGAGACCTCTCAAGGACCCATCATGGTTTGATCAAAGAATACCTCAAATCCCAGAGTATTCTTCCTGTTTCCTGCAGCAGTGTCTTGGCCCCAGCCTTGAGGGTTGATTCTGTGCAATTCTGACTGAGAACATAGGCACTATATTTTATAACATATAGTCATGAAACAATATGCAAACTAGGTCATATATTGTTTTGTATTACATGGACAAACTGGCTAAGATGTTCTTATCAGCCATTTGCTGTAGGATTATGTAGATAGAGCCTAACTTATACATCAAAATAAGATGCTGCAGATTTATCCATTAGTTGGATAAATATCATTAATTAAATCCATGTTAAGCAGGCGATGCCGTGGCTTAGTTGGTTAAAGCGCCTGTCTAGTAAATCCATCTTCAATTACCAATATTAACAATTCTAGAAGTTGTTGGAGAATTACGTTCCCAGATCCTGAAATCTTGCCTTGTTACTTGAGTTTAAATGAAATGCTTTTTCCATAGTTATATATGCCTTTAAAATTTTTCTAGTATATAACTCAATATAATAGTGTTTTTGATCAAATGGCAACAAAAATACACAAAGTATAAGTAAGGCTTATTCAAACTGAGTCACATGGGACAAAAAGGAGATGACGAAGTGCCTGGAACAAGGCTTAGGTTAGCCAGTTACTTGAAACAGGGCTTCATTCCTGGCATTTTTGAATAATAAATCAGATACTTCTAGGACACAGGATTTTG